TATATATATATATATGTATACTAATGCATTAAAATTATCTGAAAAATTATAAGGAAATTAAATTTATATATGTACAATAAAATTACATTATTTTAAGTAAAAAGTAAATGAATCATTTAAAGAACATATTAGTTACAATAATAATGAATGTATTAAAAGCATAAGAAAATACTAACCACCACTCTATAGCCTGAGATATAGTGCTAAAACTAGATGGCCGTGATCTCAAAAAACTCTGCATAGAAGTTAATGCATCCATTGCCGTACCTTCTACAACATCTATAACTCCTAATCCATATAAATTTGAAATCAATGGAGCTGCTCTTACAGCTACCGCACCACCCATGCTATGACCGACAAGAATTATTGGAGTATCGTGCTCAATTACATCTATAACAGCTGCAACATCTCTGGTAAAAATAATACAATTTATTACAATGCAAAAAAAAAGTTTCATAAAGATTTTATGCACAACAGTTTAGAAATCAAATAATATATAATAAATAAATAAAGTTTTCATAAACCAATATAGATATGTATATGTTTGTACATACATACATACAACTGTATAAAGTTTTCATAAATCAATATAGATATGTATATGTTTGTACATACATACATACAACTGTATGTATGTATGTACAAACTATTTTACATTCATAGAAAGTTTTTAATAAATTTATCATATTTATTCTTACTTAAAGATTTAAATGCATAGATTTAAAAAATACAATCAATCTTATTACAATAAATAATATAAGCAAAATTTAAAAAATGTTCATTTGATTGAAAAATGTACTCACGATGCTAAAGTATCTGCAGATAAGTCATCATCATCTGTGGTATAAGTATCCCCGTGACCCCTAAGATCAATCGCCATGACTCTACATAATACCATTGTCATAATCGATTTCTAAAATTAATAATGCGTGTTAATCTCTTTCTCAATGTGTTATTAGCAACTGCAAACGATACTCACTGTGAGTTCTGCCCATGTTAAACCACTATAACCACCACCATGCAATAAAACTAATAATGGACCTTCAGTACCCTTGATATAAACATGAAAAGTGTTCTGTCCCACTGGCACATCCTTGGAATGATCAAAGTACGGATCCCATCGTACTGGTTCATAGTCTCTTCTTCGCTGAGCTCCTCTCGACTTACTAAGTCTTGAAAAAAAGACATTTTTGTATATGATTTTGTAGCAACTTCCTTCAATTTATTCAGTAACTTATTAAAAATCCCACTTTCATACGATTTCACAGATCAACACAAACCTGGAGTTCAAAGCAGAGAAATTGATGGCCGATGGTGGTAATCTGGATTTCAAAATTGACTTTTGAAGGGCAGACATGTTAACGTATCGCAGACGTCAGTGACACCGTCGTGTCGGGAACAATCTTCGTACTCGTGCTTTCTGTTGCAGTCATATATGCAAAAAGGAACACTCGACAATGCGGCTAATGAACGGTTGCACGGTTACGCGTGCAAGGAAGATGACGAAGAAAAAAAGCGTGAGAAACGTATATGACGTTAAGAGATCCACCGGCGAAAGGAACGTCGAGGACGCAAAACACACTATTGCATACCGATCACCAACACAAAGTTGCAAACGGAGCGCAAATGGCGGAAACGAATTTTTCCTATTCTTTTTCCTTTTTTTTTGTTTCACGGTTTCTCCTAAATATCGCTCTTAATCCTCTGGCTTTGATAATCAGATAATACTAATTTATTTTCGAGTACCACCGAGCTTTCTCGAATTACGTCAAACGTCGATAAGTATTCGCGGAAAAATTGCAGCACTATTTTTGCATGAGTTTTGGAACGCGTTAAAAATCCTATGATTTTAGTACGATCCGAAACCCATCGAGAAGAGACATCATAACCTTTCGATTTGTGAAAAAAAAAATGCAATTTCTAAAAAATTAATATGTAATTTCCATACATTTTAAAACTATTTTCTTGGTTATAATATCTTAACATTAATTAATTTCCGATTAATATTATTATTAGGCTATCGAAGTTTATTATTTATAACAATTAATACATTTTAATCAAAGTTGTTTATTTTTTGGCGCAATTATAAATTTTAAAAGTCAATAAACTCGTGTATGTATATA